AAGCCTCACATCTATGAGATCTATTGGCACCTCCTTCATTACTTGTTAATGACCACACAGAACAGGTGGTCTGTGCTAAGTACATGGAAAAACTAACTTTCCCCTAATAGACATATGCAAGCTCTGCAGCTCCCAGAAAACCAGCCCATCTCCTCCGGCTGCACATATGTGAACAACTTCCCGGGGGCAAATACTTGTAGAGGAATATGTGTTGGCTGCTTCGTGCCTTGGGTCATAGAGGGACATTCAATTCTATGTGGACTCTGGTGTTCCTATAATAATAAAAGAGCATGAACGAGGCAACATTGGTTTTAAAGGTCCAACACTGCCTGTCCAACCTCAGTAATCACATCATTCACTCTGTTCTCTGCTTCTGTGGAAAGAAACAGCAACCTTAACAACAAACATGATGGAGAGCACCCTCCTCTCCCTAGTAGATGAGGCCCAACTCACCACTCAGCCCAAAGGACGAAGAAGCCCCGGGGCCCAGGCTTGTCAGCCCAGCTCAGGAGAGGCACAGAGAGGACTCCAGGTTTCTGAATAAACAAGCATGTCACGAACTGAAAACCACCTTTAGATTTCCAAGTGTGTTTACTTGGAAATAGGATGGGAGAGTGAATAGGATCCCTTCTCTTTTCAAGTTTTGGCTGAAGTCCCAAAGACGAGAAAATAGGTATTAATATCTATAAATTCTGCACATCACTCTCTGGATTTTCAGAGATTTGTATGAAAGTAGCTTCAAAATTCTCAGTCTCACCAGAGTATTTTTTGGGAGAATTTATAACTGACACACACACACACAAATTCCATGTTATAAGCAAAGTGAGGACTTCCTTAAGGGACAGATTTCACTGGACAGAGGACTGGATAGGGACTGCTTTATCCTCCCTTGTGCAAATGAGTAGGGCTCCTTTTGAAAGTCAAGCAAGGGGCCTGTATGTCCATAAAAATGCACTTCATGTGTCCACAGCTTTAAAAAAATATTCCTGTTGTTTTCTGATCCA